AAAGGAGCCAAACACCCTCACTGGAGGAAAGATAGCCTCTTTAATAAATGGTGCTAGAAAAACAGGGTTTCAACTTGCCAAAGATTAAAACTAAACCTATATCTCTCGCCATGCACTAAACTAAAATCTAAATGGATTAAAGATCTAAATATTAAAATAGAAACACTGAACCAGTTGGAACACAGGTTAAGTAGAACTCTTGAAGACATCGGTGTAGGAAAAGATTTTATGAACAATTCTTACTTTTCAAGCTTTAGATTGTTAAGTAATCTCATTATGTCCTCTGTGTTTTCCACTTAGTAATATGTTGTTGGAATAAATATATAGAAGAAATATATGTACATGAATATACAGAAGAAATACATGTACATCTTGTTAAATTTGCAAAAAATCATTAGCCTAAGGAAAATGAAATTATTTTTCATGATTATGTGTAGGTTTAGTACACTGGTTATTTATAGTTTTCTCAAAATTTTTCTTGATTCAAATACTCATGTGTGTTTAGTGATATGATATTCAGACATTCAAAATTGTAAAAACAAGATGCTGAGGCAGGAGGATCATTTGAACCCAGGAGGGTGGGACTAGTCTAGGCAACACAGCAAGATTTAATCTCATTTAAAAAAAGAAAAAGAAAATACGGTCAGGGATTTAGGTCAGTGGTTCTGCTGCCTGCCCCACAAGCATAAGGACCCAAGTTCAATCCCCAGTACCAAAAAAAACAAAAAACAAAACACAAAAATGAAAAAAGAAAAAAATAGCTATTTTGGCAAATCTCACTGGTTTACTAAGGAATTAAAAAATAATGTAAGTGTAATAAATGTACATAAAAGTTATACTAACCATATTTTCTTACTAATTTATCAAAATTTGTTTCAAATTATGAAAAGTATATTTTAATTTATGTTAAATATGTATTAAGAGAACAGACACATATATCATCTCTTAAATGCAGCAGCACGTAGAATGAGAGAATATAAGGTACCTTGTCTATGACACAGAGAACAAAGTTGGAAGGCAGAATTCTCATTTATGAAGCTATCCCAGCAGTTGTCACTGACAAGGTGTCTAGGCTGTTCTTCATCTAATTAAAAAATAAAGAGATAAAGAAAGTCACAGTGAAATAGAAAATAACAATGGAGATGGAAATAAAATAAAAATTATCCTCTAATGAGAAATTTCTCAGATTAGTATTTTTCAAAGTATATTTTGACATGAAATTTAAATAAAATTATTGAAAAACATATACAACATTATAAAAGATTTTCTCTATAACATTAAAATGTTGTAAAATTGACTCATAAACTTTGAAATTTTAACTATTCGAATAAAATCTATCACTAAAAATCTGTTTCACTGATAAAGAAAATGTGGGGTTTTTTTTTTAATAAAATGGAGTCCTACTCAGCCATAAAGAACGGAAAACTACAGTCATTTATAGCTAAATGGATGCATATCGAGGGCAGACTCTTAAGTGAAATAAATAGGACACACATGTGTAAACACCGAATAGTTTCTCTAGTGCGAGAAACTGATAGTGTAAACAAGAGTTAAAATGATTAAAATGTATAATTGATAATTTGAAATAGGAAAAAAGGTCCAAAGATGAAGGAGTGAAGGGA